TTTTGGGTCCAGTTGTGGGGCCTGAACTCTGGGCCTGGGCGCTGTCCCTCAGCTCTTCAGCTCAAGGCTAGTGCTCTACCACTTGAGCCACAGTTCTACTTCTGGCTTTTTCTGCTTATGTGGTGCTGAGGAATCGAACCCAGGGCCTCAGGCATGCAAGGCACGCGCTCTACCACTGAGCCATCTTCCCAGCCCCAGTATTTGACTCTTGATGTCAGGATAGTAAAACCTGTCAGGTTAGTGAAACCAACTTTACTCTGATGTGTTGAACAGTATTTCCTGAGTTCAAGGAAGAAGATTAATTATCATGTAGAAAAGGAACAGTAGAAAAACATACTAGTTTTACTTAATGGTTTGGCTTGGTGTAAGGAATTAGATGTTTAGTTTTTGGCTTCTACTGCATATTGGAATGTTGTGCTTCCTTCAAAGTGACAACTTTTATGTGGGCCTAGATAAAAATTGTACCACGTGACAAAAAAATGATGGATCTAGGGGTAAGAAGAAAATGGCAGGGAAAAGGAAGATTTGATAGTTGACAGGTTGTTACAAAACAGGAACTTGATTTATGCTTGGTTGCCCCAGAGGTAAGAATCAGGATCTGTGTTGGGGCAGCAAGAGCCAAATAAAAAATGTTTATACAGAGCTGGGAACCTCTAAAGTAGGCATGGCTACCACTTGTTTTTTTTTTTTGTTCGTCGTGGTGCTTGAACTCAGGCCCTGGGAGATGTCTCTGAGCTTTTCTGCTCAAGGCTAACATTCTGCCACTTTGAGCCATAGCTTTACTTCTGGTTTTCTGGTAGTTAATTGGAGGTAAGAATGTCATGGACTTTTCTGCCCAGGCTGGCTTTGAACTGCAATCCTCAGATTTCAGCCTCCTGAGTAGCTAGGATAACAGGCATGAGCTACTGGTGCCTAGCTTTTTTGTTTGTTTGTTTTGTGTGTGTGTATAACTAGGGTTTGGACTCTAGGCCTTTTGCTAGGAGGCAAGTGCTCTGCCACCTTAGCCACACCCTTAATCCTTTCTTGCTTTAGTTATTTTCCTGATGGGGTCTTGACTTTTTGCTTAGGGGCAGCCCCAATTTGATTCTTTTGCTTACACTTTTTTTTTTTGGGGGGGGGGGTCCGTCGTTGGGCCTGAACTCTGGGCTTGGTTGCTGTCCCTCAGCTCTTCAGCTCAAGGCAAGTGCTCTACCACTTCTGGCTTTTTCTGCTTATGTGGTGCTGAAGAATATGGGCCTCATGCATGTAAGGCAAGCATTCTACCACTGAGCCACCATTCCAGCCCTTGCTTATACTTTTACAAACTAGGATCACAGGGCTTTGGTCACCATACCTAGCTTATTTGTTGAGATACTTTATCACTAATATTTGTGCCTTCACTAGTTTGGAATCTGTGTTCTCCAGAGCTCTGTCATGCGAGTAGCTGGTGTTGAGTCATCTCACCTGACCTTTAATTTTTTCTTTTTCTTTTTGCTCGTGGATCTTGAACTCGGGACCTGAACACTGTCCCTAAGTTTTTCCACTCAAGGCTAGTGCTCTACTACTTTGAGCTACAGCACTACTTTCTGTTTCCTGGTGGGTATTTGGAAATAGGGTCTCATGGAGTTTTCTGCCCAGGCTGGCTTTGAACTTCGATCCTCAGAGCTCAGCCTCCTGAGTAGCTAGGATTATGGTAAAAGCTACCAGGATCTAGCTTTTCTGAGTCTCTGTGAACTCTCCTCCACCCTGCCCCTGCAATCTTCTAGGATCTTCTTTTATCTCATTATTTATTTATTGTTGTCAGTGCTGTGGCTCGGGGGAGTTGGCCACCAGTGGCTCAGGCTATAATCTTGGTTTAAAACCAGCCTGTACAGGAAAAGTCCATGAGCCTCTCACCTCCAATTAACCACCAGAAAACCAGAAGTGGCACTGTGGCTCAAAGTGGTAGAGTGCTAGCCTTGAGCAAAAAAGTTTAGTGACATGCCAGGTGCTGGTGGCTCACGCCTGTAATCCTAGCTACTCAGGAGGCTGAGATCTGAGGATCGCGGTTCAAAGCCAGCCCGGGCAGGAGAGACCGTGAG